GGGGAGGCCGGGCAGGTTCCTGGCACTTTCGCCATCCAGGGACTTCGTAGGACGGACGGGGCATTGCTCCTGCCCTGCTGGGAAGGGCCGTGCCATAGAGGGAGAAGGCGGCATTGTGGGTGAGGCAGAGAAGTCCAGTATCTTGTGATGTGGAGCTGGTGAAGGACAGGGAGCAGGGGGTCCCTCGGGTCTTCAAGGTGAGAAGTTAGCACAGAGGGACTGGTGCTCGCTGGTGCCTGGCTGAACGCTGCAGCACCGACACCCTTGCTCCATCCGGAAGAGATACGTGTCTAGTGGGAAGGGTCCTGGGTCAAAGGGGGTGACTGCATTTCACTGCTGGTTTCTCTCGCAGCTGGGCTTCAACATCCGGGGAGGAAAAGCCTCGCAGCTGGGGATCTTCATCTCTAAGGTGTGTCTGTCCTTCTGCCATCCCCTCCCTGTGTTCTCTCTGTTCCCTTGGGTGTTGCTGAGCCAGCTGGGTGTGCAGGGAGACTGTCATATGCCTTATATGCATCTCCGAACTCGTAGCTGTAATTTGCTATGCACCAAGCAGCAATCAGGCGGTCCCGCACCATTTCCTGATCTCTCCCCAGCCCACAGAGTGTGGCTGGGGCACCGCAGTCCCCGCTCCCCATCCTCCCCGGTCCCGTGTGAGCGCTGTGGGGAGGCTCTGGGGCTGGGCTGCCTTGGCTGCACGGGAGGGGAGCTGTGGCACTGGCTGTGCGGAGAGTCACTGCTGCTGTCTCTGCTCTTCCCTTCACAGGTGATCCCCGACTCGGATGCACACAGAGCTGGGCTGCAGGAAGGGGACCAGGTGCTTTCAGTGAACGATGTGGATTTCCAGGACATTGAGCACAGCAAGGTGAGCGCTCCTGCGGCCCAGCTGCTGGAGCAGGGACAGGATGGGGAGTCCATGCATACGCCATCTCCTTCCGGCCTCTCAGCCCGCACCAACTCAGCTGGTGGCACCACATAACCGATGCATTCCTCTTTCCTATCCTCCAGCCCAGTCTGGTCACTGAGCAATTCCTTCTTCTTTCAGGCTGTGGAGATCCTGAAGACAGCCCGTGAAATCACCATGCGCGTGCGTTACTTCCCCTACAGTAAGTGCCCGCTAGCTCCGAGTCCAGTCACCTAGCAGCATTTCTCCTTGGGAAGCACACTGCCATGCATCCCTGCCGATTCTACTTGAGCTTAGCGGTTATAGTCATAGACGGTGTTAAGCTAGCAGCCTGCAGATCAGAAAGAAAATTGGGCTTTGATTTGGGGGTCAGGACAGCTACCAAGTCAAAACAGTACAGACTGGCTTCAGCTGCCCACATAGAAAAACTTACAGAGTTTAGCAACACAGTGCTAAAAGGTGGGATGATTGTTGAATGGAAATGTTAACTTTAGAGATGTAGAAGCAGCTACTTATCCTTGAATAACATAGGAATTAGTTCTGTCACTAGTGGACCTATGCCGATGGTGGACACTGCTTGTGGTTTTTATCCCACCCAAGGATGTTTAAATTCTGATTGAGGGAAAAGAATGTATTAACTCTCAGTTTCTGCACCCGTAAAGTTCGTAGATATAAGGGGGGGGGGGGGGAAATAGAGGTTAAGTCAAGCCAAACAAGGATTCCTTATAAAATAGAAGCTGACCCTTAAGTGAACAAAGAAGAAAAATATGGAGCAGGGGAAGAGAGGACTTTAAACAGACTTGTGTTCTAAATGCCCTGAAATAACTTGAAATGACTGGCTGGGGTGCAAATGTGCTATTTTAAAGCCAGCTGCTACCCAAAAGGGTAGCAAACACTGCCTCCACTTAGTGAGGTATAAACAGAATATGTGTTTTCCTTTAACATTTTGGCTAATTCCCCCTTGCCATCAGCGACTGCTGCTCCTGCCCTTTCAGCCTTGCCTTCTCTTTCCTAGATTACCAGAGACAGAAGGAAAGAACTGTTCACTAGTGGGCAGCTGTCTGCTGGGTCTCCAGAGTGGCCGTCCTGCAAAAAACTCTCTACTACTTTCCCTCAACATCCGAGATGATACGTCAAGTTTCAGCTGTCACTGGAGGTACAACGGTCCTGTTGGCTGCACGTGCATCAGCTCTGCTTCCTGCGTGGAGGGATGCCAACAAAGTCTTATTTAGCTGGAAGATGGATGGGGCTTTAGTCTGTACTCCTTGAACTGGGTGTTGAAACAAGCTGATGTGGAAGTGGGTACCGGAGGGCAGCTTCTCGGGCAAGATCTGTGCTTCTCTTCTAGTAGGACTTAATTTAAAGGAGTGCTCTGCTGGTTCTGGATCCAACCCTTGTTGCTAGATGTAAGGCCAAGAGGGTCTGAGCGCGCCTGAGCAGAGCACGGCCTTTGTCCTCCAAGAGATCAATCTGTTCACTTCTCCGGTGACATGAAATTCTTTTCTTCTCCACTGTCCTACCTCTGCTCTACACTACTGGGTTTGCTTGGGACTCAAGGAACAGGAGTAAAATCCAGTCAAACTCAGTGCACATCTCTAGCTGCACTAGTCTGCCAAGGCACGTTCGTACCTCTTTGCTGCTTAACGACCCCCACGATACAGGACCGAGATGCTTGGAGCACGTTTCTGAACTACTGCGGGCACTTGGCCAGGTTCCTCAGGTGTGGTGCTTGCACGGTTAAGGCTTTCACTCGCTGAACTTGCTTCCTTCACTTGGCACAGCCCTGTCACGTGCTCCCATCAGAACTCCCCGCCACATTAGGTACACTTCTCCCCTTCCCTCTTCTCAAAGAAAGGGGAGGAAGCCTGCTGTGCCCTGTGCTGGGTGAGCACAGATGAAAACATGCTAGTTATCAGCAAATCTGGGTGCAAATGCATGGTTCTATCATATTGTAAGTGGCATCAGGACAGCCCTTGCTCTGGCCTTCTGTGCGGTGTTTTCCGCTTATCTGTAATTGAAATAATAAAACAAGTACAGCAACCAGAATTCATCTTATTCCCACTCAGGAAGTCTCCATGGAGGGTTGTTTGTCACCACCCTCAGCAGTATCCCGAGGAAATGCCGGGCGGACAGCTGGGACAAGGGTTGGCTCCAGTTGCCCTTGCAGCCTGTAGAGAAGTGTGGGACCCACACATGGTACAGCTCTGTTTTAAGGGTGTTTTTCCACTGATTGTGATGGAAGTCTGCCCTTGATTAGCCTGTAGTGGTGTTTCAGCGCTGCTGCAATGGAGGATTTTGTCGGTGGTGGCATTAATGGATCTTCCTTGAGACGGCCCTGACACAACTTCAGCACTGCCAGCCAGGTTAGCTCAGCTGCTGGGCAGAAAGCTGAAGCAGAGTAAAATACACTAGAAAAGAGACTTTCACTCAGAATAAAAAAATTAGCTTTTCTACCAGGGAAATAAGCATGCTGGAAGCCCCACTGTAACATAAGCTAAGAGCTCTTCTACGGAGACAGGCCTCTGTGTCCCGTGGGACATTGGCCTCTCCAATCTCACGCCAGTTTCCCAGCATTTACATGTTGCTTGGGGAAGGAGGATGCTCAAGTTACAGCAAGGCAACATTTCATACTGCTCCGTCTTCCCTTCTCCCCCCGTTGTGCTCAGACGTGCCGGGGTGAAGGTTCAGTGGGCAGTCCCTGTTCCCAGAGCCAACCCTGTGCTCTGCCTGGTGGAAAACTGCCATCGAATGTGCACATGAGGCTTGTGGCACACAACCCAACTGCCGAGGAGCCGAGGCACCTTGAACTCTCCACAGGGGACTGCAAATACAACCTCAATTTTCATCCTGCTTCAGAGCAGTCCCTCACAGGAGCTCCAGGAAGATCTCCCCTGCCTAGGGCAGCTTCCGCCCTGCCATTACTCACAGGTAATTACTCAGGTGCTTTTGCACCATCGCGCTGACCCCGTGACTGGCTGTGGGCTAGCAGGAAAGGGTGGATTTTTTCCCAAGACACATTCATGTCTTAGGTATCTTAACTGACAGAGCAGTAATAGGGTTTTTACTGGCCATGACAGTCTATTTCATCCTCCAGAACTGGAGGCACAAATGGGTAGT